ATATATATGTGTGTGTGTATATAAATTTATTTAGATGATCATAATTTGTACTTTCAACATTTTAGTGGAACTAAAATGATGATGAGATGGTTGATTTATCATCTATGTTATGAGCCTTATAAAAGTTTTTGTGAGTTGTACAATTTGAATTTTATGAAAGTCTATATTGAAGAGAGAAAGAGCCCAATATTTATTAAAAACAAAACTTTAACATGTGAATAATGGGCAAAATGATTTACCAAAGTCATATTACATAATTCAACACTGCAGAGGATTCTGTTTCTACATTTTGTACTATGTTAAATAATCTCTCTTTCAGCAGTACTATGGTTGAGCAGCGCAGGCCACGGGTTTGCTGTGTATGGTTGTGGAGCGTAATGAATTAAAAGCCCTGTGTCATCAGTATTGCCGAGATGTGCGCAGCGCTTTAACGGTTTTGTATTTTCAGCAGATTCCCTAAAACACAAAACTCATCCTCTGTGATTGGTTGTGGCTCAGCATGCTCCATTGTTCCGTCAGCCCGTTTGTTCGCTTGGTTTCCTATGCACAAACAAAACTTTCCTGCCATCCTGGGCAATATTGGGCTCCTCCGTGCTTTGACAACCCGAATTATTGGAATCTCTGACTTTTTCTAAGGGGAAAAAGAGGTATGTGATCAATATGGAAACACAGTGCAATTAACTGTATTTTGTATGGAATAAGAAAGTCATTTTTAGTGTTGTTTGAATTAAGTTCAGTGGGTGAATCCTTGCTTCTCTTAAATTTCACTTCAATTAAATTTAAAACAGAGTGGAAAAGCCCACTTTATATAAAATATTTAAACAATATGCCATGTGTTACGGATGCACCACTGAATCTAGATGGAATAAAATTCCCGAGCTCGTGTGCATCATTTACACACTGTTCACTGTACCATGTTTGGCAGACTTGGGTATAATTTAACATAAATATATCTGGCTTTGAAAAATGTTTATCAGCCCTGCATGTGCTTTTAAAAATATAGACACTTCCTGATGCAGCAGAGTTAGAGGTTAATGATTTGTCAGATTGAGCTTGCTGCTTGTTCATGTCTTATAAGACGGTTCTTTTTTTCTTTTTCATATATATGCAATCAGATCTGTCGATAGCTCCAGCATCGCATTTGTGGCATGCCGCTGAATGTATTTAGATATTGTTTTATTCATGCCCACTGTTACTCCTCTCTGTAACAGGAAGTACTTGCTCTAATTGGTATAGCCGGGGCTCAGATGTGGTGGTGAGGCCTTGACCTGTTTTTTGTCTACGTGTCAGTCAGTGTTTTTTGGCAGGATGTACAGCTTCATGGGAGGTGGGTTGTTCTGTGCCGGAGTTGGAAACATACTCCTCATTGTCTCCACGGCAACTGACTACTGGATGCAGTATCGGCACTCCAGCAATTACATGCACCAGGGCCTGTGGCGGTACTGTGTGCCTGGGAAATGCATGACACATACAGACAGTATTGGTAAGACCTGCTGGTTGTCTTACACTGCATGTCTACAGACAGGCTTACCCTCATTAATACGTCTTAGTTTGCTCACAATTAGTCCAGAACCTTGATCGACACTGGAATACTTCCCCTCTCTTCTTTATGAGTATGGAGAACCAAAACTTCCAAAATAAAATAAAATAATATACTTTGGTGTTACAAAAAAAGATGAAAAAAACAAACATTTCTTTGTTATTTAATCAATATATTTTGTTAGTTCCAATCTTCACTATGGTTACTCCCTTTAGGTTCATGGGTAGGGATGACTGAAACTTAAAAACCCAATCTGAAAAAAACCAAAACCAAAATGTAAAAATAAAAATTAATTAATCAATAAAATGAATAAATGACTCACTGACTAAAAAATATCACAGTAGATGAAAAAATAATACATATAGCCATTAACTAATTGTAAAATGCCAAAACATTTATGCTTTAAATAGCACCAGCAATTATTTATCTCTAAAATTAAGTGGTTAATAACATTTATTAATGAATATAGATACATTCATTTTAAAAACATTTCCCCTTTCCTTTTTACCTCTGTTTGGATAAATATAAAATTATTTGACTTAGAAATCCACCCTGAGAAAACATCACATCTACACTTCTTTATGTGCACTCATAAAAGCGTGCACAGTCCAGACAAACTGCTTTATTTGTTGGCAAACATTTCTGAACCTAGTGTTGATCGACAAATAAAAAAACTCCCTGAACCCACAACATATTTTGATGTTTGGTAATAAAGTAGGAATGCGGGGAGTGTTGTAAAAAGAGCATTAAAAATAAGGGAACTATTTCAAAATTGAAAATAATATAATAAAGACGCGAAAGGCTTGCATTGAATTATTTATTCATTTATTTCTGGCTTTGGCACTTTCAGTCCTCCATACAGGGGGACTGCGAAATTGTGCTTCCACCTCAAGTAGGTTGCGAGTCACACTAGTGGCACAGATGTTATTAGGAAATCTATTTTTGGTGGGGAGCCTGTGTGTGAGATTTCTTCATATGCTTTTATTTGCACCAGCAACACAACATAAAACAGCTTTCCATTTTCTCTCTTACTTCATCACATTTTTTGACATGCTCTAGATGGCAAGCTAGATCTGTCTCCTACATTAGGACAAGCACAAATACAGGCAACATATAACTTCACAAACTGAATGTGTAACAAAGAATAAACATCCTTCTAAAGTCTGCATTTATTAAGTCTGGCCTGTCTCGCTCTGGCTCACAGCATACTGGGATGCCACCCGGGCCTTCATGATCCTTTCCCTGCTGGCTTGTTTCATTGGCATTGTGATTGGCGTCATGGCCTTCATCCACTACTCCTCCTTCGACGGGTTTGACAAGACATTTGCAGCTGGCATCCTCTTCTTTATCTCCTGTGAGCTCCTCACATGCAGTCATATACAAGCTTTCCTGGTATAGCAGAGAATTAGCACCTCCGGTACTTACGCTATCTTTTTGTGCAGGCTTCTTTGTGTTGCTGGCGATGGCTGTGTACACAGGGGTGACGGTGAACTACTACGGCAAACGTTATGGCAGCTGGCGATTCTCCTGGTCCTATATAATGGGCTGGGTGGCAGTGGTGCTCACGTTCTTCTCAGGTTTGGATCTCATGATGCTTTAAGTGTTGTGTTTTTTATTTTTAACTGAACTATTTACCCTACCCTGTTTCAGGTATCTTCTACATGTGTGCCTACCGGATGCACGAATGCCCAAGAAACTCTAACTCGCGCTGACCTGCCGAACACTTCAACATATGTTCTCACACGTGTACCAGCAATGGTCCATAACCTGCGACCAAGAGGAACCAATACACCCCCATGAACTTTCCAACATCTTAAGTAGTCACGACTAAGCAAAATAAATGAGAAAAATGTTGTTGCCTGTCTTGTCTCTGCTCTATTATTGTGCACACTATCAGGACCAGCAAATAAACTTTGATGGTAAACTACCCACAAAAACACAAAGGAAGCCTTGAAAAACTACAAGCATGTCTGCTTAGTCATCGGCTTTGATGCAGTTTCAGATTTAAACGTGCAGGCTGAAAGCCATGCCTGAGAAAACACTCCATAGTGCTGCTCAATTTCACAGAAAAGCTTTGAGGTAATAAATAAATGACTCGGAAATCATGAAAATATTTCATTTGGTTTAATTTAGCTAATCGTTGTGCAATAAACAACAGTTTTAGCTTCATATATCAACCCAGAAAAACACTGGGAATGCAAATGTGAACTAAACTCAAAGGAACTTCACTTCCAAGAGAAACTGTTAATCAATAAAGTCACAGTGCATATACAGCCTTAAGCCTGGCATACAAAACAAAGTAAAAAACAAGAAGAAGAAGAAGAAAAAAGTCAAAACAGTCAACAGAGAATGGAAGTTAATGGTTTTGAGTATTTACATAATGCTGCGATAACATGAATGGTGTTACTCTCACACGAACGTTTCAAGAACAAAGGGAACAGGCTCATGCACATCTGTTCAAGCTGCGGCTTAGTCGACCTCCTCGATGGTGGGGCCGGAGGATCCTCCTCCTCCAGGAGCAGCACCACCCCCGGGGAAGCCGCCGGGCATGCCCCCTGGAACCCCACCTGCACTTTGGTACAGCTTGGTCATGATGGGGTTGCACAGCTTCTCCAGCTCTTTCTGCTGATGTTCAAACTCATCTTTTTCTGCTGTCTGTAGAGAAGTAACAAGAGGGAGTCAAATGCAAGTTTATTCTGAGCATTTGTTTTCAAGGTTTCTAATCACAGTTCAGCACAAACTCATACCTGGTTTCTATCCAGCCAGCTGATGACCTCGTTACATTTATCCAAAATCTTCTGTTTGTCTTCGTCGCTGATCTTGCCCTTTAGCTTCTCATCCTCCACAGCGGACTTCATGTTGAAGGCGTAAGACTCCAGACCGTTCTTGGCAGAGACCTTCTGTCTTTGCACGTCGTCCTCAGCTTTGTACTGCTCAGCTTCCTGGACCATGCGCTCGATGTCCTCTTTGCTCAAGCGACCTGAGTAGCAGAGCAATAAGATGGCTTAAATGCAAAGAACTCGATTTTCACAATCTGGATACAGTTCACTTCCTAGTTACCTTTGTCATTGGTGATTGTGATCTTGTTCTCCTTGCCGGTGCTCTTGTCGACTGCAGACACATTCATAATGCCGTTGGCGTCGATATCGAATGTCACCTCAATCTGTGGAACCCCACGTGGGGCTGGTGGGATTCCGGTGAGCTCAAATTTCCCCAAGAGGTTGTTGTCTTTTGTCATCGCTCTTTCACCCTCAAACACCTGATGACAAAACATCAAAAAAGCATTTTCAATGTTTCAGTCTTACATTTTAGTAAACAAATGGAAGAGGGGACTGAGGTTGTAGTTTTACCTGAATGAGCACACCAGGCTGGTTGTCTGAATAGGTGGTAAAGGTTTGGGTCTGCTTTGTGGGGATTGTGGTGTTTCTCTTGATCAGCACAGTCATGACTCCTCCAGCAGTCTCGATGCCCAGAGACAAGGGGGTCACATCCAGCAGCAGGAGATCCTGCACATTCTCAGATTTGTCACCTGCCAAGATGGCTGCCTGCACAGCTGCAGGAAAAGAAAAGAAAAAAGAAAAGTGAAATCAAGTTTTAAAATGTTGCTCATTAGTAGCTCTGTAGTGCAAGACAGTTGTTGTTCTATTTCTAAGCACACAGGGGCCATACCTGCACCGTAGGCCACTGCCTCATCAGGGTTAATGCTCTTATTGAGTTCCTTCCCATTGAAGAAATCTTGCAAGAGCTTCTGGATCTTAGGAATACGAGTAGAACCCCCCACTAGCACAATGTCATGGATTTGGGCCTTATCCATCTTGGCATCACGGAGAGCCTTTTCCACAGGCTCCAGGGTTCCTCGGAACAGATCTGCGTTCAGCTCCTCAAACCGGGCTCTGGTGATGGAGGTGTAGAAATCGATGCCCTCGTACAGAGAGTCAATTTCAATGCTAGCCTGAGTGCTGGATGACAGCGTGCGCTTGGCCCTCTCACATGCCGTGCGCAGACGCCGCACCGCCCTCTTGTTGTCGCTAATGTCTTTTTTGTACTTGCGTTTGAACTCGGAGATGAAGTGGTTCACCATGCGGTTGTCAAAGTCTTCACCGCCCAAGTGAGTGTCACCCGCTGTGGACTTCACTTCAAAGATGCCGTCTTCAATTGTCAGGATCGAGACGTCAAATGTGCCGCCGCCCAGATCGAAGATGAGAACATTTCTCTCTGATCCAACCTAAAAATGTAGCATTTAATCGTAATTTGTAGATTGTGGATTTAGTAAATTTTTATTTTTTTTTATTCAGACAAACTTTAGGGCTTTCTACACAACATCAAAAAACTCTAGCATACCTTTTTGTCCAGGCCATAGGCAATGGCAGCAGCGGTGGGCTCATTGATGATACGAAGGACATTAAGCCCAGAAATGGTCCCTGCATCTTTGGTGGCCTGGCGCTGAGAGTCGTTGAAGTAGGCAGGCACAGTCACTACGACACTTGTTACCGTCTGGAAATTTTAATAAGACTATCAATGAGAACTGTGATGAGCAGGTTTTTTTTGTTAATTTTAAACCAGGAGGTATCTAGGCTGTAAAAGTAAACACGACACAAGCAGTGAAGTCTGCTGTTGACATTTCTGTGTCTTGCTGGGAAAGAGAGACTTAAAATAAAAGATTATAAATCTTTTTGCTCAGAAGTACCTTGCCAAGGTATGCTTCTGCAATCTCCTTCATTTTAAGCAGCACCATGGAGGAGATCTCCTCTGGGTAAAACGTCTTGGCCTCACCCTTGTATTCCACCTTTACTTTGGGTCGTGAAGCATCATTGATCACTGTAAAGGGCCAATGTTTCATGTCTGACTGGACAACGCTGTCATCAAACCGGCGTCCAATGAGACGTTTGGCATCTGGGAAGCAATAAAGGATTAATACGCAGAAACATCAAAGCTCATCTTCTATTCTTGAATTTTCTAGGGGGAAAAAAGCATACCAAATATTGTGTTGTTTGGGTTCAAGGCCACTTGGTTCTTGGCTGCATCCCCAATTAGCCTCTCTGTGTCAGTGAATGCAACATAGCTGGGTGTAGTCCTGTTTCCCTGGTCATTGGCAATGATTTCCACTTTGCCATGCTGAAAAACTCCTACACAGGAGTAGGTAGTGCCCAGGTCAATACCAACTGCTGGTCCCTTGGACATGGTTCCTGAGAATAAGATCATTATTTATAGTTGTTAATCACAGACTGGCACTAAAGTGACAGTGTGGATATGTGGCAGATGAGTAACTTAAGCTCTAAGCACTGGTGGGGTGGGGATACCATGATGCACTCTTGTAGTATGGGGTAATGAGGCTATTATCAGAGTCTGAGCTGTTCAAACAAATGGTTTCTGTGAAAGTTAAGTCCACCACACCTGTTACTAGGCCTCCTCCTTTCTGAGAACTTGGTATTAAGTGCCTTTATTACATTAACAAGGAACGACAGGAAAGCATGGGCCTCTTCCAAGAATAAGGTATTTGGACACCTGTAATCAAAATCAAAATTTTTATCTCTGTGTTTTTAATGTGCAGACTGCTGTTGGTCTAACAACAATGTACCATCCAAAATCACCTCTAGTGGCCATTACAAGACACTAATATTCTATATTCTGTTTTATAATCTCAAAAATATAAACTACAAAAGGGATTCTCTATCAATACATTTCTGAGTGAAACTAAGTGGAAAATGTTGGGAAAACAGCTAAATAGGAAAAGCCATGTTTACTGTTGCTACAGTAGCAGATTACCAACACACTGTAATGATACCCTAATCTTAAACCACATGGGAGGTCATTATAACAAACTTTTCATGCCAGTGGGTGGCTGGGTTCCTCCTGTGGGGCATGCTGCCAGTAGTGGTGCAGCAGAAATGTGGAGACTGGCAGTTTGATAAGAGCCAGGGCTTTATGGCTTGGGTTAGCAAAAAGTAGAGCTGATTGATATATATATTTGGACTGTGGTTAACAGTGGGTTGATTTTAGCTATGCTTTATTACAGTCCGCATGAACATTCCTATATTGATAAAGATAATGACGGGTAGGTTTTAGCTTGCATTCTTAATTTGCAAAATATGACAACTTATACAGGTGCTTGCTTTGGATAATGCAAAGCAACTTTATTTGCAAATTGCACTGACTCTTGTTTATACTGATGTGCTTCGCTAACATTGTTTATGGACACTGCATTGCATTAGTTTTGGGAGTGATGATGGGAAAGAGTGACTGTGCAGCAGCAAGTACATGCCAGTCTATCAGCAGCAGTGCGAGTGGGCGTGCCCTTTCATTCTTCAGAAGCCTGCGAACTTTCTGGATCTTTCTTCCCACTTTATGTAACTTTAACGCATATTAGAAACTTCATCCCGACCGTTTTGAGTAAGACGGAACATGCAGCAGCAGTAGCAGTTTATACCTGTTGTTTGTCATTTTAACTGTCAAGCATCTTATCGGTTAAGCTACACTTAACATGTATACTTAAGGATGTGTGGCAGTAAGATAAGCCTAATAAACAAAACAACAGCAAAAAAAAGCACTAACTAGCTTAGATGTTACCTTAAAACACTGCAGCCGTTAATGATGTTAACGTGACGCTAACCACTTGACGTCAGCATGCCACACGCTTCTCCTCTCTATACTCACCTCTGTTGTTTTCCTACTGTGGCGCAGGTTGCCTTTGCCCTGAGTGACTGGGTGTGACGGGTCCTGATCCCCGGTATCAGTCAGTAGTGTGTGTGTATGTGTGTGGGAGCGGCCCTCCTCAATATCATTCCCACTCCGAACTCTCTAGAACACAGGAGGAGCGATGCTGGCCAATCCTCTCCCGTCAGTTTCAACTGCCTCGACCAGCGGTCCAATTAAAAATACCGTCAGCAGATTTCCAAAGCAGTTGCTATCAGGAAAATACAGAGAGTGAAAAAAAAAAAAAAACTAAAGTTGACGTTTCGTTTCTAGCAATTACTAGCAAACTCACTGAGGAGAATGATCCAGCAGTGCCAAACAGTTTCTGGATTATTCCACAGGTTCCCGTCTCAGGTACTCCTGAAGGAGTTATTTTGATTGAGTGAGTTACCTGATATGGCAAAAGTGATCTTGTAGGCAGCTTTTCCCTCTTTGTTCATTGTGGAAAATTTGCTAGATTTAAGCACACAAACTTGCTATCTGTAGTCTTTGTGTCGTTATAAAATCTTTCGGCGTTACAAATATTTCTTGGATTCAGTTATACCTAATTCAGCCATTCACACCAACTGCTTAATTTCACTGCTTAATTTCACTGGTTGATTTTGCAGCATTTAACTTTTCAAAGCAAACTTAATTTTTAGATCCTAAAAAACAGATCTGACCAGACCATTGCATTAAACTTGATTTAGACTTCTCAAGGAAAGCTGTCATTGACTCATGAGGAGGTACTCTTCAGGTTGTGTGGAAGGTTACAGCAAAGGGTTAAAAGGAGTTTCCAGTTACATCATAGGAAGCATAGTTTATTAGACATTAGGCAACAAGTGCACTTGTTGCTCAAAAAGCACACCAGTACTATATACACAAATTGTGAAATACTACCATTTTACCTCAGACGCACAGCTAGGCACTGCTCTGTAGTGGTGCGCTACTGCGATCTGATACTAAGCGAATACTTGGCCAGTATTGCCAATACCAATACGGATACTTCTTTTTTTTTTCTTTTTTTGTGTCCCGTTTGGATCTTTAGCCATCAGAATTGCTGTCTTAAGGCCAAGAAAGATGCCAAGCAGATTTATTTTACCAAGTGGATCATCATGGCCTTGCCATATTGGTCCATTTGATTGACCTTTATTATAATTATGAATTTATTTTATTTTCAGTTGCTACAAACGGGACAGACAATACGGATACTTCTAACTTATAAAAGTAGCTTATGTAGAGAACAATGTGTCATGACTTATGAGATGAATCATCATCAGTTTTTTTTAGATTCTATAGACATTTTAATGACCACTAAATAACAACAATAATAATTTCAGAATAATTATTTAACATAACAAACACAGCTTTTCATATATTTTGAAAGTGGGTTTTTGAAGACTTGGAATGTGAATGTGCCTGTCTCTGAATAACTTTGGGTCAACTTCTGTTGTTTAAATGTGCCGAAGGCTCTTAAAATATAGACATGACAGTCAATACAAAAAGGTTCTGAAATTTTTCATACTAAATTTTTGAGGTATATTTTTTCATTTCCCCATGATTCAGTCAGTTACATACTGAAATTAGAGGCTAGAAACAGAGTATCAATCCTATCGTGCTAGTATTGATATGATACCAATATCAGCTTTGGTATCAGTACTATCAATATTTTGATCAATCCATCCACCTCTACTGCTCCAGATGAATAGGCGCTCTGAAGGTATTTCTGCCTCCTCAGATGTGGTCCCCACTCTGCCACCAAGAGTTAAAACTACCCCACTGGCATACTGATATATGTATGAAATCTGCTGTGATACAGCTTCAACTCCTGGATGAAACAATGCATTTTTCTTACTTTTCCTGTTTAGAAACATCAATACCTGCTCATCATCACTCAATGTCAACTTTGGGGGACAAATTTTCCCCCAAAGTACAATGTGTATATATGCTACATGACAAGGGCAACATTTCTTTCCCCTCTCATAACCACAGACACAGAACATGCAACACAATGCAACCTATACATACACCAGTACAATTACACAATACAGTAATACGATTATGCTTGCAGCTCATAATGTTTATTATATATATATACATTTAGAATCAGAACATTACATAAACCTGAAGGAGTCAAATACATTTTAAAAATCTTTTGGCGTCTTTTTGGCCCTGTATTTAAAGTTTTAATTGGTTTTGCACCTGCTGCCACAGGATCATTAAAGTCTGCTTCCCAATCATTCTAGACCTGCAGCCCAAGCTTATTTCAAAAGGGGCATCTTTGCTGACCTTGCACCAAGATTCTGGAATGATTTCCCAAGTGACCTCAGAAATACATCAACCTTGACTGTCTTTTTTTCCAAGCTTTTGAAAGCATTTGTTTTAGGAGTCTAGGCTGTGGTTGTGGTATTTTATGTAAATAGTATGCATGTGCATAGCAAGAATTTTTAATAATTAAAATATAATAGTTCCTAAAGTCCAGCTGCCACATAGTTCAGTTTCAATGTCCATAAGTGACAGGTGCCCCTTAAAATGTTGTCCTTAATTATTTTCCTGTCATCTTGAACATTTCAAGAGGACCATTCTCCTTGTTTTAGTTTAGTTTTACTTAACTAGAATAAGTTTGGTCTCAGTGCTGGAGTCCTTATCTGAACAGGAGGAGTGCACAGCTTATCAGAGGGCCTTATTGTCTCCAGGGTCCTGGGCATGTGTCCACTTTGCTCACATAACAACACAGTGTCCTGTATCTAGTTTATATAAGCCAGTTACATAAGCCAAAAATATGTGGCTCGTTAATGGATGAGATTGTCACAGAAACCTGAACTTGATTACCTGATAGAAGAGCAATTAGCAATAGTTAAGAATAGTTAACGTCTTGCATGAGCTCTTAAAAACAAAAACAAAATAACAAACCCTTCAAAGTATTGCATGTATTTAAGAGGGAGTTAGGAAGTTGAATTAAAGTAAAATACAAAGCACTAATAAACTACAATAATACTACTCATATCTGGTCTTCAGATCTGGTCACCCTACTGCAATGTTGGATTCATTGAAAGAGCTGTCACTCAGTTCCACAGGCAGTTTTTCCACTTGACTTACACTCACACTATTAAATCCCCCGTTGCCCAAAAAGCCTTTTCCTAATAAACCACAATGAGAAACTCTGTCAGTAAAGTGCACACAGGACACCTTTGGCTTAAATGTTTTTATTCTGAGTCTGTGAGCTGAGCAGAAAATCCCTGTGGATCCTATGACCCAAGACCAGATGGTCTTAAAACACAGCAGAAAACATAGAAACTAGAAGAAGTTCTGAGGTGATGTGTCATTTCATATTCAAGTTTTTTAAAGTTCTCATTAAAGGTAACCGTTTTTAAGTTTGTTAAGGGGGAGGTATTTATTTTTACACACAAATTTTGAAGTAGGTGACATCAAGTTAGTACTATTTAATCATTTGATTAAAAATCATCATAAAACTAAGTATTTTAAAACTATATTTACCTGGTGGGTAGAGTTTACAAATTGTACATTTGCATAGAAAACATATGGTGACTTTACATTATCTTCCAGCTCTTAACAGTATATACAGTCATGGTAAGAAGAAAAAAAAAAACAAGCACACCCATTCTCATTCATTTCTGAGGTTTTGAATTGAACATGCCAGGTTCTGGTTCAGTGACATGTCTGAAAATGAGGTAAAAACAAAACACGACATATAACATCATGTCATTCATTTATTTAACAAACCCTAATCCAAAATGCACAAGTAGTGTGTATAGAACCACCATCAGCCAGAATAATAACCAAACTACATTCTGATTTGTTGGTGTTCCAACCGACCAGACACAGTGGTGGGTAAGAAGGCGAGGAAGACCACAATTGTGATAAATTCCCAGCTGATAGCAATGTGAAGATGTTTTCTTTTTCAGACATTCTGTTGTAGATTTGGTCTGTGATTCAATTTCATTCAAGCTTTAGCTGTCGGACACATGGTCTCACCTTTGACTCTAGAATAATTTTCATTTGTTTTGAAAGTTTTTCATTTATGAATAATGTCTCTCACTGTAAAATTACCTTATAACTCTTCCTATACTGATGGAAAGCAACAGTTATCAACTAAGATCATTGCTGATGTCTTTCCTCATTGACATTGAGTCAACACACAACTGAATGCTTTAGTCCAAAGAAGTGCCAAAACACCTGCTTTTATAGAGGTGGTCGTACTTGCACATGCTCAATTAATCAAGTGCATGTGATTCGCGGCATCTAGCTGCTATACTTATTGTCTTAATTCGACTCTCTTAATGGAAGCAGAAAGAGTGTCCTTGTAGTTTTCCACTCACTGCTTCTGCATTTTGATTTATTTTCTGTAAAAAAAAATAATGACAGTATAATATGGCATTTTGAATGTTAATCTGAGATTGTATTTAACTAATTAACTAATGATAAAGACCAGGTGCTCTAAATGCTAATATTACATTTTGTTTTTCTTCTGGAAGAAGTTTATTTTTGTTTGTTTTTTAACATTGTAGTATGCTGTGGTACGATTAGTAAGTACAATTAGTAAGTACGATTAGTAAGTAAATATCAGAAAGTGAAAGAATGTTACTCTTTGCAGTCTGTGAAGTGCAGACTGAACCAGAAAGCATTCGCTTAACCACGCCTCTATGTGCTATTGCTAAATAAGTATTAAGGACATAGCTGGAGGCTTCCTCTAAAGTACACAACCTGAACCAACACCCAAAATTTATGTGAGAACAGACACTGAGATCAGGGTGTAGTTCTTAAAAATGCACAAGTGGGTCACAGATAATCAAGCTTTATAAAAAATAATGGTAAAAAAATCCTGGGGTTGGTTTACCAGTACAGTATGAGGTAGTGCTGTGCTCTGATATGACCTTTTAAACAAAAAAAGGACACCTCCTGTGTTACAAAAATGTTATGATACTGTTCAGGTGTTGCATATATTCATGGCTTTGCAATAAAGCAGGGAGTAACTGCAGTCAGTAGGTGTGGTACTAAACGATTCAATGCTTTTAGATTAATTTTACCCTATAAAGTTACAATTATAAAGAAAATATAGAAACTGTGAAACTGTCATTAAAAATAGAAGTAATCAATTTATTTGCATTTTGAAAATCATGTAAATCATGTCAAATCAGACACATAATAAAATATATAAAAAAAAATTTCATTTCTATATTTATACAATATAACCTCCAGGATGTATGTCATTGACTGTTTAGGGCACATCCTGCAACAAGCTACACAAAATTTATGCCTGTAACAAAGTGTATCCGTATGCTTGCATCAGTATCACAAGCATGGGATATAGAAGCTATACAAAAATAAGGTAATGTTACATATATATTTTACTTATAT